CCACTTAAACTTAACATATAGCAAGACCCTAACAGATGTGCATGGTTTTAGAAAACATAGTCTAGTGGACAGGATCCTACCTTAGGAGTAATGAGGTTTTGGGCTTTCTCTGCTTTGGGTCTTCCTGCTCTGCTGTTTACTTGCTTTGGGACTGTGGGCAAATCTCTTTGCCTCTTGTCTGTCTTGTCTATTTGAAGGGGTCCTACATAAGTTTTTCAGAGCTGGGGCGGCTTGCTTTAGGCACAAGGCAGAGGCAAAACTCCACCTCGTTTTCTTCTCGGCAGTGAATTTGCTGCGCAGGAGTCCTGGGCTTGTTGTCGGATCGCCCTAGCAACTCGCCAGTGGTTTTGTTGTTTTTTTTTTTCCTTTTCTTTTCTGGTGGTTTTTTTTTGTTTGTTTTTAACTGGCTTCTACATCATGCCCCTCTTCCCGCCCGCTCCTTGTAAGATTCTTCTCCTTTGACGTGGAGCTAGGGACAGGTCCCGCGTATATACCTATATAAGCCCGGGCTGCATCCCGGCGAGCTGGTGCTTTTGCGTGCTCGAGCCCTTTTTCCTGAAGGTTGAAACCCGCCCGGCCGCCGCCGTGAACTTTCCTATGGGAAGTTTCGCAGATTTCCTTGGTGCCTCTTCTTGCCTGAGGTTGTGCACGGAGGCAGAGAAGCGCCTTGTCTGCATCTCGAAAACAACTGGTCGTTAGATTTGTCTCCACCTCGGGATTAGGATGGTGATCACCACTATTTTTTGTTTCCTAGAGAACTGGCCCCGTGCAAAGTCAAGCAGCTCAGTTTGCTAACTCTTTTACCCATGACTTTGTTGCAACGAGCGTGGGGCTAGGAAGTCACATTCGTCAATTCCTGACGGAGGATGCTCTTAGTTTTTACTTCTTAAAACACCTTTAAGCCCCCCCTCCCTTATTCTGATTGCTTTCCTGCCCCCCTCCCTCAAGAAGGTAGAGGTGGGGAATATTTGTAACTACGAGCTCGAAAAGAGCCTATTGTGCTCGTTTGGATTTGGGTCTTTAATTACTTTCTGAACAAGAGGAGACAACTGAACTAAGGTCTTTTTATGGTGCGATTATTTCTCAGGGAATTTTTTTTTAAACCCCAGAAAAATATCTCTCGATTTTGGTGATGTAGTAAAAGTTTGCCACAGAGTGATTACAAGTGGGTCCTTCCCAAGAATTCCTGACGGAGATTGCAGAGAAATAGCATTTCAGCAACCAGGACAAAAAGCAGCAGAGTCAAGGCAACCTAGAAAGCCTGCTTTTTTATCACATTATAGTTTTTAGAAAATGCACCCTGCCTTTCAAAGATGGCATTCCTTCCTTTGTGTACACGCCTCCCTACGAAAATAAAATACCTGCTTCTTTTCAGGTGCCAGCCCAAGTTATATTCCTTTCTTTGCAAAAGCATTCGATAGGGGCTTTTTGTGAAAAATTAAGGTGCTGTGAACGTTTGTTTTCCTGAGGCTTACATGAGGTTTTGCAAAGGTCGGGACTTTTGAAGAAATAGAGCAAAGCTGAACTGAGTAAACGAGGGGAAGAACAGGCCGTTTTGAATATTGAAACGTTTGAGGAACATCCCTAGTCCTTGCTCTTCTTGATTTCTTTGTGCTTGTAAACAGGGGACAGTCTTTCAATCAAAGATGAAAAGGGATGGCAAAATCCCGAATAAATGTTCAGGCTGTTCGTGTGATTTGGAAAGCAAGAGGTAAAAGATGTGAATATCTGAACAATTCCCCGCAATAATGAGGCCTAATGAGGTGGTTAGCAAGATAAAATGGTATTTACCAAAACACCTGATGGGATAATTTGACTCGCTTGTGTTTTACTGCAGAGGATAAAAAGACTATTGATTGTAAATAAATCACCGCCTCTAATCGCTCGCAAACAATTTGTTTGCTCCTCTCAGATCAAAGTAAAACTTAACAGATAAAGTAAAGTGCGGACATCTATCCTAGCAAACGTGAGCCAGGCTCCAGAGTAACTGGGCTCCTTTCTCACAAGTTAATATTTTACAGCAGGCGGCCGGGGGCCGCGTTTGTGTGTGGGTGCAACGTCCTACAGTTTAGTGGTTTCGTACTGAGCGATTGGGAACCGCCTGGAGACCACTTGGACATTTTCGGGGGCCGCTTTTTGCAGGCAGGGTTGGGGCTAGGTGAAAAAAAAGGCGGCGGCTTTGGAGGCGTTTGTGCCAGCCCCTCGGCTCTTTGGAGATCAGGTCGAAGGTGACGTGCTGGTGTCTGAAACGTGCTACCCCTAGCTGGAGAGGCTTGTGCGGGGAGATCTCGCTCTTTTTGTGTATGTGTGTGTGTGTGTGTGTGTGTGTGTGTGGCTGGCTGCTGGTTTGAAACGCGCAGGAAAACGGTGCGGTCGGGGTGAAGGCGAGAAGATGGCATCAGCTTCACTGGGGCTGGGGTGGCGGGACAGAAAAGGTGCCCCATGTTGAGCTGCGGGAAGGGCAGGCCTCCGGGCCCCTCGCGTTGCACTCAGAGCGGTGCGGGGCATGTGCGGAGACGGGCGGGGAGGGGGGGCTGCTGGGAAGAGTCAGAGGGACCCTCACTCATCCCCCCCATCCTCCCTCCTTGTCTGGCTGTGTTGCAGGGCTCCCAGTACGAGCTGAAGGATAACCCGGGGGTCCACCCTGCCACCTTCGCTGCCCACAATGCCCACGGCTACTACCCCTACGGGCAGTTCCAGTACGGGGACCCGGGGCGGCCCAAGAACGCCACCCGCGAGAGCACCAGCACGCTCAAGGCCTGGCTCAACGAGCACCGCAAGAACCCCTACCCCACCAAGGGCGAGAAGATCATGCTGGCCATCATCACCAAGATGACCCTCACGCAGGTCTCCACCTGGTTCGCCAACGCCCGGCGCCGGCTCAAGAAGGAGAACAAGGTGACCTGGGGCTCACGGAGCAAGGACCAGGAGGACCCCGCGCTCTTCGGCAGCGACACGGAGGGCGACCCCGAGAAGACGGAGGACGACGAGGAGATCGACCTGGAGAGCATCGACATCGACAAGATCGACGAGAACGACGGCGAGCAGAGCAACGAGGACGACGAGGACAAGGCGGAGCTGCTGCGGCCGGCCGGGCACGCCGACCCGCTGGGCAAGGACAAGGAGCCCGACGGGCTCAAGCCCCGCGACGCCCTCGGCCTGGCCAAGGAGCCGGCGGACAGCAGCACCCGCCTGGCCAGCCCCGGCGCACCCAGCAGCCTGCAG